CAGAACATTCATTACACAAAGAATAAAGTGGTCTATCACATGTCTTTGTGTAATGAACAATGACTTCGGTGACATAGAACTAACCTGAACTAGAACTATATTTATTATCAGACCAATTGTGCAGCAGAAGATGGTGTATGTTCCATACTTTGCAGAATGACCCATACTGTCATGCCGCCCGTCCCCGGCTAACTCAACTGGAACACCATCTAATTGATTAAAAATATTTCTTTGGTAACTCCTCCAGAAGGTGACTATTGATGGAAGTAGCAGGTGCTTCTGATGATAGTAGTATGTGGACTCATTATAAATCAAAATATTTATATGTCTCAGCACTTGTAGAACTTTCTTCACTGAAGCACCTGCTGTGAGTATTGCAAAACTCAGCAGTATGTTGCCAGCAGGGAACTTTCCAATCAATAAAGGTTGACTTGACCATACATTAGTCTTTTCGCAGCTTTTACACTTGGTCTCTACAGTTACCATTGTGCCTGACTGAATCGTAGAGACAGATGGGTTTGGGGACTTGCAAAGATGGCAGATTTGGAAAAGCATCAATAGATGTGATAGGAAAACAATAGCCTTGGGTTGTTGGCGGCAGTCTTTTCCATCAGTACGCAATCTAACAAAGAAATCAAAATGAATAACTAGCCCAGCAGTACAATATGGCAAATGAAAATCTATCATTTCTTACCTATCATTTACGTTTTCTTTGTCAGAGTCTGAATCATCATCTATCTCAATTCCATCTGCTGGTTCATCCTCTATGGGGGCATCATCAGTACATTCCATGACTTTCTTCACCTCATCCTCTATTTCCTCCTTCATTTCTTCATCATACTCATCAGACATGTCCTCTTGATCATCAGATAACATTTCCTGATCACTTTCTTCATCCTCAGCTATATACACATCTTCAGTCTGACAGTCTGTAATAAAAAGAAAAGAATGGAAAAAATTTGAAACACAAGAACAGTAACATTTGAAACTGATAGTCTATGAAAGCATAGTATACCTATAGTCCTTGTAGCACAAGATTTAGTTGCTTTTGCCAGTGCCTCAGTAATTAGGGAATTTGTAGTTTCCAACCTGTTTAACCTGAGTTTTAGTGCTCTAACGTTTGGTTTTAGTTCAAGACATTGCTTGCAATATGTCTTCTCCAATTGTGTCTCCTATGAAATATACATATGGAAAAAATCAATCCAACAATATTGTTTTATTTACTCCTATTGGCAGTTTAAACTTAAAAAGACAAGAAATGTCAGCAAAACACAAAACAATCCAGTAATTCATAATAAATTT